CTCTGCGTTCGGTCACCTGACCCAATAATTTGCCCTGAAGTGGTGAGGACAATAAAAAAGATCTATGGCAAGAGTCCCATCGGAACCTTCAAAAAATCAATGTTAGAATCGAACCCTTCACGCTGAAATAATAATCAAACCCATTAAGTCATTAACCACTTCACCCTCCACACACTGAAACCAGAAGCGAAAAGATACCTGAAGCCGAGCAGAGTTTTTAAACTTCCGTTAACTTGATATACCTGCGTTGCTGAGGTAAAGCCGTAAAGGGGAACTGATGAAGAACATGAAGTTGATGGATGGTAGTAGAACTGTAAGCTCCAATCAGTGTTGAGCGCAGAGGCATTTGGTTTCGTGGAAGAAAAGCTCCATTTTCTTTCCATCAGTAAAGAGAGAGTGAGAGCAGGAGGAATCTAAGGAAGAAAGGTTTCTTCCATATGCTGCTAGCTGCCGCGAGCATTGAATCACCTTTAGCCATCTCTAAACGAGTCCACTCATTCTCCTCAGACCCATCACACCTTCCGTGCTTGGAGATGCCGGATCCAAACAAGCCACTTTACTTGTTGGATTCAGATTCTGAGAAGAAGAGAGAGGAGACAGATACCAACCCATGCATCCATACCGAGAGCTCCGCAAAAGTCCATGTGTAGTGTGAGGCAATATGCGAATGAGAAGGAGATGTAGGCTTACTCAGGGTCTTTCACTTCAGGATTTGGCAGAAGCCAAGAACGATGAAAAATCAAGCTACTTTTTATTCGTTTAATTATTCAAGTTCTAGGGAAGCGTTCCCATAAAATTTAAGTGCACATCATTTAATGTTATTATATTTACATACCCAATATTTAAAATTTTATATTACGAGAAAAAAATTGGCAAAAAACAATAAAGCAGGCGAACAAGCCCAAAAAAAAATTATATTTATTCATTTAAAATTTAAAAATTTTAATACATCACTTATCTCCACTAGCACCGAAGAATATTGTCGCATCGAATCCTTGTTTACTCTGAGGTGTAAGCTCAACACAGATAGACAGAACTCAATAAAGGCACTAATTTGATGTTGAAGTATTAGAATTCAAAATTGAGGATCTTATAACTCCCTATACTAGCATATCAAATGACAATCTCTTATAACTCCTAAGGCTAAGCATCATAAATAATCAAAAATTTTAGACCCTTATAACTCCATTCAAACATTAGATTTAGAATTTTATGTTCTTATTGCTCTCAGCACAATACAACAAAACTCTTTGTCAATCATCACAACTTTTCCAATTCACATATTTCAAATATATAAACATAAAAAACAATTATATTTTCAAACATGATAAATAATATCAAATTTGTCCTATTGATAACAAAACAAGCAAAAATTCGAGGTAAAATCGTACACAAATTTTCACATTTTCTAACAAGGGCGCCAAATAACTTTGAAACAAAAAATATCATTCAAATTGAAGAGCAATGAAACATAAAATCAATATAAAAGATAAAAGAGAGAAAAAATTTAAATATGAACACCTTCATCCCTTCATTAGACACAACACAACAATTTTTAATCTCAAACTTCATATTCAATGATCTCAAAGGTTCGCTCCAGTCAACCTCATGTGAATCAAAATTATTTAATGCATAATCAATTTCATTATAAAATGCAAGAAACCAGGTTGGCGTGCTCATTAATTACAGTAAAGCAAGAGAACAAAAGAGAAATCATGCGAACGGGATGGATAGCAGGAAGATTCCCTGCTGCTTTGCATATTAGCGAAGCTGCCTTCCATATCACTGCCGTCAAATGTGAAGGAAATAAATCTATACAATTATGTATAAAAAAACCATCAGCCTGAACTCATTCAACAAAAAGCTCCTTCATTTATAAAGATATTTTCTTGTTAACACATACGATGGTAGCAATCATTAAAATCTCTTAATTAGGTAGGCTTTTTGGAAGCAAAGGACGAAGACGCTCCATTCTCCGGGAAACATTGAAAGCAACATGCTGTCAATATCCAGCTACAATTTCTAGTAAGTAGCAAAAGAAAACAACATATGGGAATAGAGAGATACAAGGACATTTGAATAATATAAAGAAGGCAAAAGAGTTTCAGAGTACACAAATCACTGGAATCTCAAGCCAGCCGGGCAACGGCACTTTTAGACTTGCTAACACCTAATAAATTCTACCAGCCTTATTAAGGCTGACCATGCGCCCAGCACCATCAATCTGTGATCCTCTCGCCGAGGAGCCGCTCTGGTATGGCGTCCTCCCTCCGGTACTACCATAAGCATCCTGGTACCTGGAGCTCGAATAACCACTTGCGCCGCCTCGCTGCCCAGCTCCAGCCCTTTCCTTGGGAAACCCTCCTGCCACTTGTCCTGACCTGGAGCTCAAATAACCAGCTCGACTTCTTCCTTGAGATGCAGAGAGGAAATTTTCCTGCCACCTCCCAGAAACTACTGAGCCACCAAATTCCTGTCCCTCGCCCCTCCTTCGTGGTGGCAGCCCATCAAGCCCACCACCAGTCCTAACCTCAAAAGCTTTTTCATTGATTTCAGCTAAGATGCCAAGTTTATCTGCCATCTGGAACAAGAGACCCTGTAGCCTTGTTTGCTCAACTTCATGGAACACAATACATTGTGTTGGTTGATCCCAGCTTGCATGAAGCTCCTCTGTGATCATCATCTTGCTAATGATGCTGTGTGCGTGCACATCAGAAAGATCAAACAGGGCAGTAACTCGGTCAAGACTAAGGGATTTATAACACGAGGAATAAGCAAACAAGTAGGTTCGGAGAGCCTCCTCCTTTATCTTTGTATTAAGCATGTCAAGCACAGCATCACGGTTTCGAAGGAGCTTCCAAATGTCGAGAGACTTGATAACATTGAACGCCTTCTGGTAATCTCCCTTATTCAGGGCTCTGGTGGCAGCCATGACATGGTCTCGGACATTCTCAGGGGGGCCAACAAATGTTTGCCTCTCACTTCCATCAAGTAGCCGACGGAATGTCTTGCTAATTACCTTGCGCTTGGAGTCGTGGGTGTTAGATGCCATATTGGGAACCTCGAGAAGCATAGCACAAATCAAATGGGTGGCTTCAAGAAGTTCAAGGTTTATGTGCATGTGATAGGACGACGTCTTTCAAGCTTTTCCTGTAGCAAAAAAACAATGAAACTATTAAACGTCAATGAAGAAGAACGACTGCTACAAAAGACCAAGCCTAGAAGTTGAATGTTTTGGCTTAAACTGAAATGCAGAAGAAAGAACCACCTTTACTATTTAAACCAAAAAAAAGTAAAAGAATTAACTTTCCATACATATGCTTTTATTTAAATAAACTTATTACTCAACCAAGCAGCACCCCTAAATAAAGAAAAGAAAGAAAATTGAATCATTATCAACAATCTTAAAAGTACTGAAACAGTGAAATACCAAAAGCATTAAAGCCATTACAATCTGCAAGAACATAATGACCATAGAACAAAGCAAAGGAAATAAATGGAGCAATCGATACAAAAAAGATTTTTCATACGGAAGACAATATATAATAGCAATAGCAATAATAATAAAACTAACGAAGCTGAAGTCGCAGCTTATAGTCTCTCTATGAGACTGTTGCCTTGCCTATATAAAATATGCCATGATTATGCATGAATGATTGTGAAAAGGTCAAAAGCAATTCCGTTATACTAAGAAAATCACCCAGCATCTACATCTACATAGACTATCATTTATTATCACAATTTGCCAGCTTCAAAATCTATTTTCACCATTCATTACTTTGAGCTTAACAATATGGGAAACAATAACACTAGAAGCTTTCATTCAAGAGGAAAGAATAACAATTACACCGTCTAAATAGTATTCTTGTCCTCAAGAAAAGACATAAGTGATCCGGTGATGCAAGACGCTCAAGTGTTCAAGAGTTTTGAATATAATTAGAATGATGTAATAAATATAGATGTTGTAAATGAATAAAGATTCTTAGAACATAGATGAGTAAATATAAAAAAAATCTGCTTTTTCAGATGTAAATACGAAAATCTATAAAAGCTGAAAACAAATGCTGTATATTGAACTTTAACTTCATTTCGGGTTAATAAATACTCTAACTTCAACGTTGGATTCAAATATTTAATTCTCTTTAAAATTGAATTTGGATTCATATATTATAATTTAAATTTATTTGTTCAAGGTAAAACACGTCAGCATTTGTAAGGCCTCTAATGTCAAACACCTATACTAACAAGATTACATCATTTTCCTTGTTATTTCATCCTCCCTTGCAAGGCAAGGGCTTAACTAATGTAATACTCAAATGATGCGAGCACTTTGCACAGCATCTTAATTTGCTTATGTACAAGATGTGCAGATGAAACAAAAAAGAGAGGTAATAGAATTCGAAAAATTGAAGGTGTCCTTGGTGGGGAGATTAGTTCTGTGGTAACTCAGAAAGGATCTCAACAAACCAAGGAATCACATATAAGATGAGAAATAACGGATATAACTATAAGTCTGAGAGAATAAAAAAAGAAACCGAAGGAGCCTCACTATGGAGCATAATAGCGAAGGAAAGAGAAACTTTATAACTTCTTCCAAATAGACCTTCAATAAATTACTTTTGGATTAGCTAGTAATATTTCATTTAATTTAGATAATAATATGGTCAAAAAAATATACTTAGTTACCCAACTACACAAACAATTACAATCAAATTCATGGCAGATGAACAAATTATATAACTAAATAAACAAAATCATACCAACACTTAGCCAAACTCAATAAATCATCAATACTAAAGTGAACTAGAAATTATTGAACACTGTTATATTTTTGCACATTCTTGAATCCAAATCCTATTTTCCTTGACAGGTATTATGTTGAACATGAAAAAAACATAATTATTAAATCTCGAGTAGTATTTGAGTCAGCTCAAGTTTGATTAAATTAAATTAATCAAATAAAGCTCAGGTAACCTGACACCGACCTAGGATTTACTAGTTACACCCTTCAAAATAAGAAAAATGAATGGGGGCCACAAAAAATTTTAAAAAGAAAATGTAGATTGCTGTGCAATGTGGATGTCATGCATGTCACCATTAGATTCTATTAAAAACTAACAGCCAAATTCTGTAGCTTTGTTAAAAGTAGAACCAAGATATATTTTCATCAGCATGTCAAGGAGCACCACATCAGCATGAATCAATATCAATCATGTAAATAATAGAGCAAAAATCAACACAAACCTATAATTTATAATTACCCGATCAGTGTTCTGCAATTATGCCAAAGCAAATATGTTCACTCGGGACATTCTTTCCCTCATCTCCTTCTATAAGCAAATCATATTTGCCTTGACAGTATTGCGTTGAACATGATAAAAAAATGATTATTAAAACTCAAGTATCATTTGAGTTCAGCTCAAGTTTTATTAAATTAAAATTAATCAAATAAAGCTTCAGGTAACCTGAGACCCACCTAGGCTTTACTCATTAACGCCTTTCAACAAAAAAATTTTAAAAAATGTAGATTGGCAGTGCAATGTGAACTTACACACTTACACTAAGTATGCCACCATTAGATTCTATTAAATACTACCAGCCAAATTCTGTAACTTCGATAAAAGTAGAACCAAGATATACGTGCATCAGCATGAATCAATATCAATCACGTAAATGATAAAGCAAAAAACAACATAAACCAATAATTATAATTCCCCAACCAGTGTTCTGCAATTATGCCAAAGCAAATCTGTTCAGTTGAACTATTCCTTCCCTCATCACCTAGAAGCATCCAATTCTTATTGCATTTTACCATTTCATTGTTTCACCAATTCAAAAGGAGTCAAGGTAACAATATATCCAACTGTCCTTTAGTCTTTAGTTTTTAAGCATAATAAAAGTCCTTAAATTTTGATAACATATTTAATTTCGCTATATTATATTATTTTTTATGATCAAATACATAAAATATAAAATATCATCATCCAGCTTCATGTCCAAACCATCCTTTTCATCCATATAGCTTGTGGCATTTCACTAATTTAATCTTTCAACTTTATACATAGACCTTTGAATTTCATATTTCAAATGTTAAAGGCAGTTGCCACAAATTTCAGCATTTAAGACCCCAGCCAAATATTATTTGTGACAAAAATTCCTCATTTTGACATTTTACCACAAAAGACACAAGTCACATAACTATTATCGCTTTTTTTATCAAGATTGCATAATTCTGCACTAGATCTTTGTAGTTTAACCTAAATCCAACAACTTTATTTAACCCAAATGAATGAAATTAATGAATTAAATAAGAAAAATTATGTTAACACAATCCTAAAAAAAGATAGATCTGAAAAAATAATAAAAAAACGTTAGGGTCAATAATCAATATCAAATTCAAGGCAACATTAAAATTGTGAAAAAGAAACAATATAACTCTAAAAGGAAGCAATTATTT